TTCATATAATATTGAGACAAAAAAATCTACATGGCTTTGATCTAGTGGTGACTGAGCAACATATAATGTGTGGGTTAGGCACACGTCATATGGTATTGAACTCTACTCTATATAAAAATATAGCATTAAGTAAAAATGGTAAAATGATTGAGCCTATTATCCATTGTGTTTTGAACCTTACAATACTTGTCTCGGGAATTTCTTAGTTTAAAAAAATGAGACACAAACGAAATTGCTTTTTGATGTATGGATCAATCAAATGTGATAAAAAGAATAGTTAATTTAGAGAATCTGAGTTGAAATTAGAAAGTAAAATAGTAAAAAAAATGAAAAAGGAAAGAAAGAAGAATAGAACTGATGAAAAAATAAATAGATTATTTAATTTAGTGATAGAATAGTTTTATCCTATTAACTCATTCAATCTTATCTCTACCAAATTTTAAAAAAAATATTAAAATTTAAAATATTTTATCAATAATTGTATAAATATAAATTACATACTATATAATGATATAGTAAATACATGGATTCCAACTAATAAAATCATAAATAGAGGGTGTTTGGATTGACTTTTAAATTGGTCAAATCATGTTTTAGGCTCTTTTTAATTTTTTTCACTATTTGACAAAGTTAAAAGTGCTTAAAATAAGTTAAAAACTGTTTAAAACAAGCCAAAAGCAATAAGTTGTGGTTGCAATAAGTTGAGCAACCCCAACTTATTGCTTTTTTGCTTAAAAACTATTTCTGCTGAAAAGCCACTTCTTTTAAGCCAATCCAAATGGGCTCTAGTCCTTAACGCGTGAGTATGAAAATAATACTAGTAGTCTCTAACATGGTTATGATGGTTTATTTACTAAAAAAACATAAATATATAATACGTATATATACTTATGTCTTGTATGCGTCTTTTGGAATTTTATGGAGTATATGGCATTGGACATAAAGAGTCCTTTATCCTTGGAAATCAAGCACACAGCCAAAACTAAACGACCGGTTGGGCAAAATCCTTGCTCCGCACGGCTTCTTAGCAATTAACAAATTGCATTAATCAACGTCGAAGCAATCTTTCTCTCTCGAACCAAACTCTCTCTGCCTTCTCTCTATAATTTCAACCAATCCACCTGGACCACTAGAGGTCCCACAACTACCTCCACCAGCCCCACCCGATCCACCAACCCAAACTAGCAATCACCAATCGACACCTCACAATCAGAATTTACCAACATCAACTGCCACCCACTCGTCCAAACAAAACCCACTTTGCAATCAACATCTTCCCAACAAAAAACACATACTTCACATCCATCCCTTGAAGATGTGATTCATTTGGATGGCACAAGCACTCAAATACTATCAAACCCCCAATATGAAAACCCTATTATCCAACACAAACAAGTAATACCCAATACCCAGAAGAGTAATTTTCTCCCACCACCACTGAAGGTTTCTTCTAATTTTGACCCTCACCTCGTCACAACCGAACCAATAATAGCATCCAAAATCCCCAATCCAATATTCAACAGAATGCAAATCGGAACACGAAAAATAACAGTCCTTCCTCTAACTCGAATAATAATTCCAAAAATCAACCTCGACCACCCATTCCAGTGTCCAAGCCGTCCTTTGCAGCTACTGTCTCCACTTCTCTCGCAAATAGATCAAGTGCTAAGCAGCATGTTGAAATTACTCATGGTACTCATATAGGCAAACCCGCGGTCTAATTCTCTGCATAAGACTTTTTTGTTACTCTGGCTGAAGATTGCAGGTTCACAATTGTTGGAAAGTTTACTAGAGGCAAACCTAACATGGAGGAAGTAAGGAGGTTATTCATCAATCATATTCCGCTTAAAGGTACTGTCAAAATAGCCTTTTATGATACAAATCATGTTTATATTGACTTGTCCAATGAAATGAATTTTTATCTTATCTACTTTAAATCGTTCATCACTCTTGGTCCATACATAATGAAGATTATTAGACGGACCCCCGACTTTGCCCCCGAATGTGAGACTACAATTGCTCCGGTATGGATTCTCATTCATCAACTCCCCTGACATCTTTTAGGTGGGACATTTTATCAAGAATGGTTAGTTCAGTTGGTACTCCTATGGCTCCTAACATGGCCACCTACTCTAAATCTAGAGGTAATGCGGCCAAGATTAAAGTTGAAATTGATCTCTTGAAACCTAGTAAGGATCAAATCCGGCTGGGGTTTAAGAGGTTAGATAGTAATGAGGAGGATGGTTATTGGCTTGATATTGAATATGAAGGTGCTCCCTCATACTGTCAATATTGTTGTATGCAAGGACGTGATATACTCTCCTGTAGAAATAAGAAAAGAGAGGAAGAAATACAAGCCCAAGTCACAGCCAATAATGAGGAGAATACTGATCAATGGAAAGTTCAAAAAGGAAACAAGAAAGGTAACCAACACACGAATGGGAGTAATAACCTGAATGTGTTACCACAACAATCTCACCAGGAAGTCATAGATACACGAAACAACACCCAATCACATAAGGATGACCAACCAGCTCAACAACCGAGAGATCATGGTATACAAAACAATCAGCAGTAGGTTCTGAACGAGAACAAATCAATTGAGCAGGCAGCACAACCTCAACAGGTACCAAAGCAAAAGATTGGAGCTAAGAAAAAAGTGCAATGGCAAGTTAACCGGAGCAAGCAAATCACCAATACCATACACCATAATAACTCAAAATAACCAACTACTCAAACAACAAATTTCAACCAAGTTAGAACCAAATCAAAACCAAACACACATCAAAGAATAAATCCCTATCCTCAAGCTACTTATCAACGTTCCACTAGTAAAACCTCTCAGATTGTTCCCGATAACATATCCAAGCCAAAACCCCCAAATTATCACTGACATCCCTTCTATCTCAATAGTCCCAAAACAACAACATTTATCAGCTACAGAACCTAAAGTGCCAAAACTGGCACAAATTATCCCTTCCCAGCAAATAAGCTCTCAAGTAATTCAGTCAGCTAAGGCTTATGCAAATGCCACCCCTCAAGAGCCACCAGACCCTCCCCCTCTTGAAAACCTCCCACCTGAACACAACTTAAATAATCATAAGCCATCTAGGAATGCTCTTTCATATAGCAGTGATGAATCAGACTAGGGTATGCTAAATGATGTTGACTCTGAATTTGAAGCTTTAGGGAAAGAATTAGAAACTGCAGAATATAGTCAGGTTTTTAATGACTCTGAAGATGACTTTGAAATGAACACCAGTCTGATAGTGATGATGCTCAATCAGTTACCATTGATGATCATGCTAACAAATTGTTAGAAATTTTCTCACATCATTCACCACCACCACCACAAGAAGTTGATCAAGCCTTTGAGGAAGTGATTGGCCAACATCACCTTTCACCCCGGGGACATGAAATAATCAAAGGTAGGTTCTCATCAACAACATGTGGACTCTCAAGCAGAGGTGGCAGAGCAAACAAAAGAGGTAAAGGTATTCCTACTGTAAAATTTTCACAGGACAAAGATGATCAATCCACATCCTTTTAATGATTAAGTCTCTTATTTGGAATATTAGAGGAATCACTTCTTAAGGTACCTTTGATAGACTTAAGCAGCTTAAAAGAACTCACAACCTTGTATTAATAACTATTATGGAACCTTTCAGTGGTAGAACTAAATTGGAGAAGTTCAAGAGAAAACTTGGGTTTGATTTTGCATATGCAAACTGTAGCAACAAGATCTGTTTTTTTGGCAATAATTCTATTAATTGTACTGTGATTGAAGATTTCCCTCAACTTATCAATTGTTCAATTGATAACAATGGGGAGACTCTATTTATGACTTTGGTGTATGCTAACTGCAAAGCTCATCTCAGTGAGACATTGTGGGATAGTATCAAAATAGTTTTTGAGGGAATTAGCTCTCCATGGATGGTGGCCTGGGATTTTAACTCTATCACTGATCCCTAGGAAAAAAAAGGGAGGTAATGATCACAACATGTCCAAAAGCTTACCCTTCATCAATTGTATTGTTGGCAGTGAGTTAATAGATATCGGCTACTCTGGCAATCCCTTTACTTGGTGTAATGGATGGGCTCCTGGTAGGAGGATATGGGCAAGATTAGATAGGGTACTTGTTAATTCTGAATGGTTGCAAAGATTTGCAGATACTTCTGTCACTCATTTGGTTAGAATTGGTTCTGACCATGATTCCCTACTGATCTTCACATATAATCCTCGATGGGAACCTAAGAAGTACTTTAGATTTCTAGACTTCTGGACTGAATAAGAGGGCTTCATGCAAGTCGTGGAACAAGCATGGCAATTGCAGGTACAAGGTGGTTATATGTGGAGATTTCACCTAAAACTTAAAAATATTTGTAAGAGTCTTTCCTTCTGGCCTAAAAACTCTATTGGCAATATATTTGATAAGACCAAAGAATTGCATAACATGCTTGAGACTCTAGAGGAGAGATGCTTGAATGATAACTCAGAAAGCAATAGAATGGAGTACAACAATGTGAATGCTCAATTGATTAGGCATATTAAAAATGAAGAATCTTTCTGGAGACAAAAAGTTGGCTTGAAGTGGTTTACTGATGGAGATAATAACACAAGGTTCTTTCACTCTGTAATCATTTCTAAGAGGAAAAAATTGCAACTGACAAGAGTTAAGAAGTAGGATGGCACATGGCTTGAGAACAGTGATGATATTGCTACTGAAGCTGTCAGCTTTTTGAGAAATAATTCACACAAGAAATTACTTGCAGAGATTTTTCAATCCTAAGGGGGCTTCCAACATTGGTCAACAAAGAAGATAACTTGTTGTTAGAATCCCCCCCCCCCCCCC